TTCTGTTAAGTTTCTCAGGATCCACATAAGAGTGAAAACATATGGTATCTGTCTTTCTCTGTATGGCTTATTTCACTTAGCATCACACTCTCCAGTTCCATCCACGTTGTTACAAAGGGCCATATTTCGTTCTTTCTCATTGCCACGTAGTATTCCATTGTGTATATAAACCACAATTTCTTTATCCATTCATCAGTTGATGGACATTTAGGCTCTTTCCACAGTTTGGCTATTGTTGTGTTCCTGAGAATTTAAAATGATGTAGCCACCAGGAGCTAGACGCTACCATATTGGATTAGCATTGCTCCAGACCACATCTGGTTTCCTTCCCGGACTGCCCCCAGCACCTCCACATCTCCCGATGCAATTTCTGTGACAGAATGTATGGGCAAATAAATACTTGGGTGCCTAAAAGTATTCAAGGAGAAAATCCTATATATGGTGGTTTGACAGAGATCAGCTCTAGACTTCTCAGATACCATCCGGTTAGAGGCCATTGCTCAACCAACAGCATGCGTGAGAGGCCCTTCTCTCTTCATAAAGGTGGTTTGGGGTCCCAGGCAAAGCCTGACTGAAACCCAAGGGATGTGTTTGACCTGGATGCTGAGGCTCGCTTAACACCACCCAGATGTCCCTGTGACCCTCCAACTTTGCTTCTGGGGGCAGTGATGACTCTGGGAGCCCAGGGCCACATCTTCTCTTACCTGCCAGGAGTTATAGCCCCCATACGTCAGTCATCCCTGCTCAGAAGATCTTCTTCCCATTTCTCCCTTTTCTATAAAAACCATAGCCTGAGATGATGCCGGTTTCAATGTACACCCAATTTTCCCTTCGAAATTCTCACTTCCTGCCCCACTTTGGCTAAGCCTGGACCCCAAATCCCACACCCCGGGATGTTGAGAGAAGTCATTTTTTTTAGAAATAAAAATAGAAAAAGAGCATCCACATACACCCACTACGGAAGAACTTGCTGTAGCCGAGCAAAGCCATGGCTGTGTTTATTTGGTCTTTATTTTGGAAAAACTTCTTACTGAATTTCTATAAAAATATGTCCTGATTGCATTCCTCATCGGATCTCAGGTCTCCTGAGACTCGTCTCCGTCATCCGCCTGCTGTCTGTTTTGAATTAGGTCCGTGTGTCCACTCTTTCTGCTTTGCTCTCCACTTGTGACCCTGGTGTGGAGGACAGAGCTGGGATTGAGCCCTTTTTTTTTTTTTTTTTTTTTTTTTTTTTGCTGGCTGAGGTAGGAACAAGAATGAGGCCAGGTATCAGTGAGCAGAGCAGAGCAGAACCCCTACAGGGTCTGGGTGATGGGGGGCCTGGCAGGTGTCCGGTGAAAAAAAGAGCAGAGGTCAACTCAGGATCAAGAATCAAAGGTTCCATCCGGAAATAAGGCTTGGGAGCCCTCCACCACACTTGTTGGATGGCTGGCTGTCCGTGGTTGTTTAAGAATTTATTTGCAACTTGGGGCTCCCGGGTGGCTCAGTCGGTTAAGCATCCAACTCCAGCTCAGGTCATGATCTGGCGGTCCGTGAGTTCGAGCCCCGTGTCGGGCTCTGTGCTGACAGATCAGAGCCTGGAGCCTGTTTCAGATTCTGTGTCTCCCTCTCTCTCTGCCCCACACCTGCTGGTTCGTTCTCTCTCTCTCTCTCTCTCTGTCTCTCAAAATAACATTAAAAAATTTTTTAAAATATATATATTTTAAAAACTAAAGGAATTTGTCTGGAACTTCAGTTTGACTATGTCTCTTACCTTCTGTAACCACAGGTGGAAATCCCAAATATTCAGAAGCAGAGGAAACATTTAGCAAAGTTGGTGTTGGATATGGATTCGTCACGAACAAGGTAGAGTTTCTCCGCTTTCATTTTTGCTTCTTGGAAGGAATAGTGATCATATTTGAGGGGGGTGGCGTGTAGGGCTTTGCGTGTAGGGGTTTGCATGTTGACTATGTTTTCATTGACTAAGTTTTTCCGAACACTCGCAATGTGCCAGGCACTGGCAGTAAGAGCCATGAGTCAGAGACATGGGGTCCCTGCTCTCTTGGGGGCTGAAGTCTAGTGTGGGAGACAGAAACCCTAGATGAGGAGTGAACACGTGGTGATTTCGGGCAGCCGTGAGTCATATAAAGAAGACGGCACTTGGGATGCCTGGGGGGCTCGGTCGGTGAAACATCCGACTCTGGGTTTCAGCTCGGGTCGTGATCTCACAGTTCGTGAGATCGAGCCCCATGTTGGGCTCTGTGTTGACGGTGCGGAGCCTGCTTGGGATTCTCTCTCTGTCCCTCTCCCTGCTCACGCACACATTCTCTCTGTCTCAGTCTCTCAAAATTAATTAATAAAAGAAAAAAGAAGAAGATAGCACAGTGCAATTTTGAGAGAGAATGATGGAGAAAGGAAGGCAACAACATTAGGTAGGGTAAAACAGAGGAGGCTTTTTTGGAGGAGGTGACACTTGATCTGGGACACAAATGACGAGGTAGCCATGCAGAGATTGGGTGCAGAAGGATTCATCACAGCAGGAAGAGCACGTGCAGAGGTCCTGAGGTGGGGAGTCAGGCTGCCATATCCAGGGTACCGCACGAAGGCAGTGTGGCTGGGGTAGAAGGGGCCAGTGGTGCAGCTGTCCCCTCTGTAGCCGTGTTCTGAACCCAAGACTATTATGAGGGAAGCACCATTCCCACTGTGCTGTTCTCCTCCAGCACTGTCTCCCAGAAGCCCCCAGAAAGCGCCTGTTACAGCAGGGGAACCTCCAGAGGCTCCGAGACGCCACCATTGACTCTGGCCTCCTTTCGTCCCAATGGCACGTATCCACCTTTCTAATCCTTGCACTGGTGTGTGCGCCCAAGCTCACACCTCGAAGGAATGTAGGTTCACGAATACGAATGTGGAAGGCACATTTTGGTTCGACTCTAGGCCCTTTGGGCGGTCAGTTTTAATCACCTGCACAGCTCTTTTTTGATTTTCCTGAGAAAAAGAAACAAAAACAAACCCCAAATAGATGGATCTGCTTGGCCCGAGAGATGCAATATAGAATCCTGAACCAGGAATCTCTGGTGAGGTTCCCAGATCCAGGCCACCTGGTTAGGTTACTCAGTCCACCTGCCCCCCGAACTCCAGTGCCCTCACCTGCCCACGGGTAATAACGCCACTTGTGGGTTGACTTGAGGATTGTTTTCAGTGTCCAATGAGATCACGTTTATCCCCCTTTTTTTTTTTTTTTTTTTTTTTTTTTAACACTTTGCAACTGCTTTACAAAAGGAGGCAGCTACGGTAACTGGTTCAGACCCTGGAATTCTGCATCCGGACCAATAGGAAATGTAGGCCAGTCCCCCAAGACCAGAAATAGAACGGGTCATATCAACAGAGACAACAAAGATTTCTTTAGCTAATTTTGTGTTCCCAGACTCCCAGTCCACCTGAACAGTTTTGGGGGCATCTGGAGCCACACATCTGGTGAAAAGTTGATTCACTTCTTCCCAATGAATCTGTTAGAAACATTGTGGAGCGCTCCCAGAAACCGAAACGCGGTAGCCCCTGCTGTATATGTACTGGCTACACCTGAAAGTGACCCGGACAAAAGCAAAGCCAGTGCTGTTAAATCCTGTTGCCTACGGAAGGTGGTGATGCTGACACTCTTCTTCTGTTAAGAAGGAAGAGGAACAGAAAGGTTGTCAGAGCTATTCTGACCCGGATCTGAGGCTCTCTCCTTCCCCCCCCCCCCAAAGTTTACGTATATATTTTGAGAGAGAGAGAGAGAGCATGAGCAGGGGAGGGGCAGAGAGAGGGAGGGAGAGAGAGAATCCCAAGCGGGCCCCATACTGTTAGCGCGGAGCCTGACGCAGGGCTGGATCTCACGCGCCGTGAGATCATGGCCTGAGCCGAAATCAAGAGTTGGACGCTTCACCAACAGAGCCACCCAGGCGCCCCCTGAGGCTCTCTCCTTAGCGTATGTGGAGGAAACCGAGCAGGTTGTATGGGACGTATTCATTTGGCATCGCTCACGACTACATGCTTGGGTCACATACAGATGCTCCCATGACGTCAGCATTCAAGACCCACATGTGGGAGTCACACAGGAGGAGGAAACACATGCTGTTGGTCCCACTGGTAGATGCCTTGCTCCTGGGTTTGTAGAGTGATTTCCTTCTGTGGGGACCTGGTTCTTAGCTCAGAGGGCTTCTCTCTGCTTCTGTAAGGGAAGCCTGAATTTCCAACACGGAGGTTCTGGTTGGGGGGCCAGATGCTAGTAGCATCAGGGGCTCGCAGTTGCTGTCTCTACATTCGTATTTTTGTTCACTCTCCTTATGAGATGGGGAGTGCGTGGGCAGTCGTGGTCCATGTGGTCACATGGTGTGTTTTTGATGGTGACACCAAGTGGCGTAAAGATTCTGAAACCATAGAGAAGCATCGTTAGGAACCTGCTTTCCATGATTTAATGAACTCTGCCATCTAATGAACTCTTGCACATTTCCAGCCCGTCATCTCTTATATGCTGGGATTCGGGGAGGAAATCGCTACCTCCCCTATCCAAATCTTTATGCCTCTGAACTTCAGCTGAGACCCTTCACAACCCTCGTTGTTTCGGAAGCCAACCCACCCCCAACTTCTGCCTTTTCCCTGACCCCTGGCTCGTCAGCCCACATGAGGACTGCATCCCGAGAGGCAGCAGTGAGAGTAAGACCAAATGTTCATTAGCAAGATCACCAGCCGCTCTTCTGGAACAGTTGGGTTCTCCCTGCCCTGATCTCCACCCCTCCCAGCCTCCCCGTGTGGTCAGTTTGCACTTCTGTTCTTTGTGATGTCCTTCTTCAGATTATTAGACCTTTCTTTAGTCTTGTTTGTTTGGTCCTTCATGAGTTACGCTCTCCACTGTGCAGCATGTCCCAGGTGGACACACGCTCTTGATCATTGTGACTAGATCTTTGAATTCTACTACAACTAGGGTGAGTAGTGTCAAATCCACCTCATTTTTCCAGTGTTTAATTCGAATACGAGGTGTGTCTTTACCTCTATCCGAGTATATCTGGTTTATCTGTTTCAAAAGCCAATTTGATAAGCCTTCATATCCTCAGAGAAGACCAAAGCTGAGTAAAAAGATAAGGAGGATGGAGGAAAAACTCAAGGAAGCTTTACGCTGGATTAAAGATGCGAATTGAATTGAACTTAATTGAATTGAACTTAATTGAATTGAACTTAATTGAACTGAACTGAATTGAACTAAATTGAATTGAGCTGAACTGAATTGAACTGAACTGAATTGAATTGAACTGAATGGAACTGAATTGAATTGAACTGAACTGAATTGAACTGAACTGAATTGAATTGAACTGAATTGAACTGAATTGAATGTTATACAAATGTCTTTTCTGTGATAGGTTTGGTTGGACAATGGTTACAGAAGGAGCCCCATTCCTTTCCAAAGTCTGCCTCACTTTTTTTCTGGGCATGTATCTAATATCAACCCTTCTGAGTCCAGAACACGTCATATTTCTGCTGAATTGATGCTTCTGGGTCCCACTGTGGACTAAATTGTGTTTTCCCTCCCCAAATCCATATGTCGAAGCACTAATCCCTACTGTCTTTGGAGATAGGGCCTTTCTGAAGTAATTAAGGTGAAGTCAGGTCGTAAGGGGAGGGCCTTAATCCAGTAGGGTTGGTGGCCTTATAAGAAGAGGAAGAGAGATTTCTTTCTCCCTCCATGCTCAGAGGAAGGGCTGTGTGCTGAGGAGTGAGGAGGCAGCTCTCTGCCAACCAGCAACAGAGCCCTCCCCAAACCCAAACCTTGCCAGAGCCTTGACCTGGGACTTGCAGTCTTCAGAACTATGAGAAAACCAATTCCTGTTGTTCAAGCTCCCAGGTGTGTGGCATATTATCATGACATCCTGAGCAGATTAAGACACCTGCCTTCTTCAGAAGCAGATAAACTAATATAAATAAAGCAGGAGAGTTTGGGGAAGGATCCTGAGTAGCTCATGGAAGTAAGGAAGTGGCTAATTAGAAGTGAATTCTGGAGCTGTGGCCGATTTAAGTACCTCTGGAAGGGAGGGCAATAGCTGTTCTTCATCTGTCACCTGTGCTCTCCACATACGGGCCTCTTCCGTCCATTGTCTTCATGGTCCTCTAGGCTCATGTCTCTTCAGCATGACCCTTGACCCTTTCTAGTTCTAGAAGTACAAAGGAGAGGCTCGTTTGTCCGGACTTTGCTTACATGCCACTTTCTTGGCCTGTCAGTTGGTCACAGTGATGAAGGGTGGGGGCACGGGGTTGGTTTGCATCAGGGACCCTCATCTGGACCGCTCACGGTGAGGGCCATGCCAAACTGGCTGCTCTCTGGGGCCCACACATCGGAGCAGGAGTGGGGCAGGGCCTCACAAAGCAGAGGATGACAGTGACACAGGAAAGGGGGAGACTGGCCGGAGGAAATAATAAATGTCCCATTACAGGAACATTCCCGTTCTGAAAAGTCTTCCTCTTGACTTCCGGTTGCTTTGAACTTCTCTTGCATTTGCCCTCTTGACCCTCCTCCTGATCCCTAAAATCTCATACCCTTATTTCTGGCCCGTTTCTCTCCTCTCCCCTTCATGAAAGCCAGCCGGTATTCTGTCTCCTCCTCCCCCAGATTGTGTAGTGATGACATCTTTCCCAGCGAACGATGGTGTCCCAGCAGACCTTTCTGCTCTGCAAATTTTAAAGCTCACGCTTCTTGGTCAAGAATCCCTGTTTTCTTCTCTTGACAAAGCAGGACAGTTCTTGAGTTTATTTATAGAACGGGTGGCTGGCAAGACGACCGTACCTTGAAATTCACAGTTAAGGTCTCTTTTCCCGGCAGATTACTGTCCATACACATGTTTCTGTGTTTTCCTTGTCATTTTATTCTTTATTTCCACAGTCTCATTCCACATCTTATCACTACTTTGTGATCTCAGAATAGGTGATTTATCTATTACGAATAAAATTCCCTATAAAAGGAGGGGAAAGATGTAGGATTTTTAACTACCAAGATGTGGGGGGTGCCTGGTTGGCTCAGTTGGTTGAGCATCTGATTCTTTTTTTTTTTTTTTAACGTTTATT